TGAATTGACAGGTTTTTTTCTTTCAACACTTTAAATATTCTATCCAAGAATCTTCTGGCCTCTGTATTTTTTTTTTTTTTTTTACCAAGAAATCAGCTATTAATTTTATCAAGAACTCCTTGTACATGATGAGTATATTTTCTCTTGCTGCTTTCAAGATTCTCTCTTTATCTTTGGCTTCTTAACATATTGATTATAGTATGTCTTATTGTGGATCTCTTTGAGTTTATCTTTTTTTTTGCAGTTTTTGTCTGGGGCTGGGTTTGAACCAACCATCTCTGGTATATGGGGCCTGTGCCCTACGCCTTTGAGCCACAGGTGCCGCCTCTCTTTGAGATTATCTTAATTTGAGTTCATTATGCTTCTTGGATATGTAAATGTATGCAATTTATCAAATTTGGGGGATTTTTTTATCTATTATTTTTTCTAGTATTCTCCCTGCTCCTTTCTCTTATTTCCTACCCTCATTATGCAATTTTGGGGATTTTTTTTTGTCCGTTATTTTTTCTAGTTATTTTCCTTGCTCATTTTTCTTTCTTCTTTCCTACCCTCATTATGCATATGCTCATTTCAGTGACCACGTAGCTATGTTGTCCTGATAAAATTTCAAGTTAGGCAAAACAAAGGGGAGACCCTTGGAGTAGATCCCAAGGAGACTCTAGTCAGGTTCAAAATAATTCCTTGGTAGCAAGGTCCACTTAACTTCCTCTAGAACCACATGCCTGCAGTGACACCATGGGCAGCCGTCTTCAAGACTGCCATGTGCTAGAGAGTGGGTGGTGTCCAGAGTAAGTTAAAGCAGCACAATAAACTACCGCCCTATTTTTATAGCCTCTCTTATGACTAAACATCCACTTGGTTGCTGTAAACTTTTATTTTCCAGAATTCCAATGAGGTTTACTGTGATAGTTTTTGCCAATTTTTAAAATGTTTCCTGGGGAGTACCAGGGTCTAGAAATTTCTACTCTGCTATTTTCACTTAGCCATTATCTTTTGATGTATTGCTTCTGTCCCTGTTGTCTCTTACCTCTTTCTTTGGAACTTCAGTTACATATATCAGACCTACTCAGTGTGCATGCCTAAATTATACTATCTCTTGTATTTTATATCTTTTTGTCTCTTTTTCTTATTCTGGATATTTTCTTCTAGTTCATTTTTTATGTCAATTCTCTTCCCAGCTTTATCTAATCTGTTATATCTATTCATTGGTTTCTTAATTTGATTATTATATGTTTAACTCTAGAAATTTAAAAAATCTAATTCTAAACATCTAATTCTTTCTGTAAATTACTACTAAGCATAATGATTTATTTTTTAATATCCTATATGGAAATATAAATGTATAAATAACTGATGGTGGTCTAGGATGACATTCTCTTTATTCAGAGAAGATCATTTTTTGTTGATGATAGTAAAGGATACTGAAAATCTGGGGTCACCTTAATTAGTTCCCATGGATTCAGATCAAGTCATGTTAAGCTGGGCTTTTTGGTCTTGTTGGTGACTGGTCTACATCTGTTGCACAATTATTCCTAGGATGTATTCTTCCTGTTTCCAATCCAAACCTGGAGCTTTACCAGGCCACTGCTATTTTCTGTACCCTGGACTTCATTCGTGTGTCCCTAGCTACATGTGTCTAGTAAAATAGCCTTTTCTTCATCTCTTTTCAATTTGCTAACGCATCTGGGGAAAAGCAGCCTCAAATTTAAGAGTTATCTCCATTTTCTTTTTTTCCTGGATCTTGACACTAATTTTTCTGCCTTGTTAGTTCTCTTGTACCTTCAAACAGATGCACACATTAATGTTTTTGACCCCATCTTTTGGGAGTTTCTTAAAAGGATTATTGGCTTGAATTATCTAATCCTTTAATCCTCTATTACCAAGGCTTAATTTAGTAATAGATGGTCAAACTTATTTGGGGGCTACCTATATAAAAAGTATATAGACTTGTAAGCATTTAGGTAAATATAAAAGATTATTTTTTCTTTTTATTTTGATTTGTTAAAATGCATGTGGCTTTAAAGAAAAATATTGAAACTTCTGTGTAAGCAATAGGGTTTTAGATGTAATGCATATGACAACTATAACAAAGGATGGGGGTGGGTGGGCACTGGACTTACAGTTTTGTGAAGTAGTACAATATTAACTCTTAAGTACCTTGTGGAAAGGGTTAACTAAAGCATTATTTTTCCCTAAAGCAACCACTAAAACAATTTTTAAATGTACATAGCTAAACCATCTAGTAGACAAAATGGAATTGAAAAAAAAATTTCAAAAGGGTAGCAGGAAAGTAATCAAAACACAGAGGTGCCAAACAGGAAATAAAAAATGAAATGGCACACCTGAATCCATCCATGTCAGTAATTATATTAAATAATTTAAACCAATGCTCTCCAATAGAACTTTCTTCACCGTGGAAGTGTCTTATATTCGTATCACCCAATACATAGCCACTAGCTATATAGCCAATGAACACTTTAAATGTGGCTAGTGAAACTGAGGAATTACATTTTTAATTACCTTATTTTAACTTTGAATGGAACCGTTTGACTAGTGACCATTGTATAGCACATAGATCTTGATGTTCCAACTGAAAGGCAGAAATTAGTAGCACTGATTTTAAAAAGAAAGAAAAGCAAGATCCAACATGTCATACACAAAAAACACACTTTTTTATGTGAACACAGATTAGTTAATAGCAAGTGGATGCAATCAAGCAGTAAATACACAAAGGCTGGAGTGACTATGCTAATAGCCGATAAAATAGACTTTAAGAAAAAAATAAATTATCAAACAAAGAAATACCTCATACTGGTAAAATCTGCTACACCCAGATAGTTTTAAAGGCAAATTATAACTAAACCTTCAGGAAACAGATGATTCCAATTTTACAGAGTTTTTCCAAGGAATCTAGAAAGTAAACCCCACCTAACTCATATTAAGATTTTAGAATAATTTTCATCTGAAAACCAGGAAAAAGACATTCTTAAAAAGGAAAATTGCAAGCTGGTATCACTGATGAAGAAGATGCAAATTTAATTCAATGGTATAATAAGACACAGCATCATCAAGTTGTGTGAATCCTTAAGAATATGAATATCGTTTAATATAATGAATTTGATTTTAGTACGCTAATGGAAAAAAGGAGAACAGTGATCATCCAATGGATGCAGAAAAATGATTGGTGACATCTATGATTTCAGGAAGAAACTGAAAACAGAAATAAAAGGGAATTGTAATACAAATGTGTTTAATGTGGAGACTTTAGAAACATTTTTCTTAACATTTAGAATGATCCACTGATGCCTTTATAAACACCTGAACATTTCACTAGGTGTCCTGAATAGGCAGTAATATAAGGAGAAAAGGAGGTATAAAGATAGGGGGGAATGAAACTGACATTATTTGCAAATGATACAACTCTATATTGAAAACCTAAAATAGGGTGGTGCCTGTGGCTCAAGGAGTAGCCCCATATATTGGAGGTAGTGAGTTCCAGCCCAGCCCCAGCCAAAGAAAAAAACAGCAAAAAAATAAATATGGTGCCAACCCCATATACTGGAGGTAGTGGGTTCAAACCCAGCCCTAGCCAAAGAAAAAAATGGCAAAAAAATAAAGAAAAAAAGAAAACCTCAAATAATGTTCAAACCATTGGCATTAATATCAGGGTGTTGAGAAATTGTGAACTGAATTTAACATCTTTATACCTCCCACTCCCAAACTTGAATTTTGATATATTGATTTAAAAATTAAGTTAGAAAAAAGTTTAAAAAGATACCACAAAAGGTGCTGATACAATTGATTACTTTTATGGAAAAAATTTTAAATTACATTCCCACTCACAAGACACAAAAATAATTTACAAGTAAATTGAAGACTAAAATGTGAAGATCAAGAAAATATTTAGCACCATAGAGGAAATTGATGACCTTAAACAGAGCACTTTTGGTATGATAGAATTGGAGTTATGTGACAGCCAGCATCTAATTAGAATTTTTAATCTGATTATGACTTTTTAATTTTGTATTATAGGAAAGTTAAAGGAGGGAATATTGATGTGCATCCATCAGAAAAAGCACTCATTGTTCAATATGAAGTGGAAGCTACCATTCTTGGAGAAATGGGAGATCCCATGTTGGGAGAACGAAAGGAATGCCAAAAAATGTAAGTTTATTTGTGCACATTTTGCAAGTAGTAACCTTTATACAAATCTGATGTTATTTCAGTCTGCATAGATGATAAGTGATTATGACATTTTTCTATACATACATCATCTTAATGAAGGAGAGATTATATTAAACTATAAACATGGAGTATATTTTAGAGAAAATAAGGTTTTTGTAAGTTTAATGTTGAAGCATATGTATTGTAATACATCCCATTTAGTAAGTGCATATAATAGAATATAAACTACTAACTTGTGAAATCAATCATATGAGATATGTTTATGTGGGCTTTTTTTAGCGTAATTTAGGAAATTCATATCTTAAGGGATCCTGTATTCTTTCTTTCTTGGAAACTGCCGGAAGTACTATGATTCCCAAATGGAACACAGACCTTGAATTCATCCCTTGAAAATCTCTGAAAAGATGCAAAAATTCTCAACAAAATCCTAGCCAATAGATTACAGCTTATCATCAAAAAAGTCATACATCATTATCAAGTAGGTTTCATCCCAGGGATGCAAGGCTGGTTTAATATACATAAATCCATAAACGTTATTTGCCATATCAACAGAAGCAAAAACAAAGCCCATATGATCCTCTCTAATAGATGCAAAAAAGCATTTGATAAAATCCAGCATCCTTTTCTAATTAGAACACTGAAGAGTTTAGAAATAGGTGGCACATTTCTTAAACTGATCGAAGCTATGTATGACAAACCCACAGCTAATTATTTCACTGAATGGAGTTAAAGTGAAAGATTTTCTACTTAGAACTGGAATCAGACAAGGTTGTTCTCTGTCACCATTACTATTCAACATAGAATAGTTCTACCCAATACAATTAAGCAAGACAAGAAAATAAAGGGCATCCAAATGGGAGCAAAGAAGGTCAAACTCACCCTCTTTGCTGATGATATGATCTTATAGTTAGAGAACCCCAAAGATTCAACCACAAGACTCTTGGAAGT